AGACATAATTAAGGACAGGTTATACAAAACACATTTTCTTTTACCAATGCTTTGCTATTTCCAAATTTCATCCAAGTAGATTATATTTATTAGATGTTTATTTTAAATGGCAAGCTCGTGAAATGAATAAAACTGAAGTCTCCAAATAATACTAGTTCAACCTGACTTTATATCTGTTTGAAAGTTGAGCTCATAATTTAATAACAAAATTATAAAATGATCACATATACAGATATTTAAGAGGATCAATTTTCACTTTCCATAGATACACAAGTCAATAATTCATTTTGTAATACTGTTTGCTCATGGCTTCTCATTAAAAAAAATTATTACAGTGATAAGAATTGAATTTTTAGAATTTCTACGACAGAGAAAAAGAAACCATCTTCAGGATTTCAAGGATCTCTCCAAATTTTTTACTTAAGTCCAGATGCTTTTCATAATTGCTTATGTAAATATCCACTTACCACACGTTCGGCTCGGGCTACAGCACAAAGGTAGATACCAATAATAGTAGGAATATACTGCAGAGTAAATCTCTGTAGCTCTTCTTCTCTCGACCGGTAGAAACTAAACAGTTGATGGCAGACCTGCTCCAAAAACTACATAAAAAACAAAATCTCTTACATTAATTATACATAATATGTATTTGTTATACTAAAAATTAACTAACTGCAATTCTAAGAATTTATGAGTGCAATGGTAGACAACTACTAAACAGTTATTTTTGCTCCTTTCCAGACAGACACCTATTTCATCAATTTTTTGCTATAGAATATCTTATAATTAATATCTTATCATTTTGTAACACTTATTTAGCAAAAATAATGTTACTTACTCTAACCTGACACTATATGAAAGGTCAGTTCTTACGGCACTAACAAATCTTTGTCAGATATGTGGTATTCTTTGCAATTAATAGCTGAAAGTGGTGACTACTGTAGTCATAAAAACAGTTTTGAAAGAACTATGTTAATGTAAAAGCTATGTAATGTTAATAAAGCTGAAACTGGCTGGATAAATAAAATGAAAATATCTGACTAACATAAGATGAAAGGAAGTTTTTAAAGGTTTTTTTTTTAAAAAGTGTCTCACAACAAAATCTTGAAATTTACAGATGTAAAAAAGTATAGAATCAAAATCAAATAATAAGATTTTTTAAACCAAAGGTAGATATTATCTAATAGGTTTCTCCTAAGTTTCATGCAAATTGTTATTTCCATTGGGAGACAGATAACATCAAGGGATATCTGTGGCACAAACATCCATTTAGCCTACCCCTCATTGAGAACTCGTGTTATGTAATGTTTAACAAAACAATGTCCAAATCAAAATAATAATCCTTTTGAAACTACATTTCAAATAGATTTGACTTATTTTTTCATACATGGCTGGAAGTGATTCTGTACAGAAAATGTAAAACTGGTTAGTATAGCAGGAAATCTGAAAAAACTTGTACTTTTAGCTCTTTTCAGCATGGGCTTGGTCCCTGGGACTGACCTCATAACCATTTTGTACTTGTTATAGTTTTCATGCTATAACTTTTACATTAGAAAGCGTTTGTTAACAAAATTTGGCAGATTACCAGTAAACATTATAATGCTTTCATATGCAAAATATAGAATATCTTATTAAGTTTAAAGGTTTATAAAGCAATGTTTTTCTCATGTCTATTTTTTTTTTCACATCTTGCCTATCTTTCATGCAAAGTAATATTCATTTTAAGATAAAAAAAACTTTTATGCATCAGAAAATTTTGAAATTTCACATGTGAAATCTTTATACTGTCCATGTAGTTATCAAATGTTTCTTAAGAAAATCTTTAAATTTTATCTGTTATTTTCAGTAATTAATCTCTATACAGGTTCAGTAGATTTGACC